TTAGGACATGGGCATCTTTTGGGGGCAAGCTTGGGGGAGATTATTCTGTCCCTAAATCTATGCAAAGCATATAGCTAGTACCATAATCAATGGTGAATGACTGAATGTTTTCCTCTAAAATCCCGCAAGGCACAGACATTCGTGGGCCTGCAGTAAGGCACGTGGTAAACCTACAGAAGGGAAAAATTAAAAATGTCCTTGTTTGCAAATGATGTGACTCTAAATGCAGCAAAAACTCCTAAAGAATACAGCTTCACATGCACCGGGAATGGGAATGTCTGGCAGAGTCCTGGGATAAGAGTTCACTGTATTCCTAAATATGAATCACCCAGAAGGGAAATTAAGAAAATTCCATTCGCAATGGCATCAAAACTAGTAAATCAAACAAACAAACAAACAAAAAACTAGTAAAACCTCTAAGAACTCTTTAAGAAACAAAACGCAAGACTTCTTTTTCCTTTCTTTTTTTCCTACCTATCCTTCTTCCTTTTCTTGTCAGCTCAAGGGCCTTTGCAATCAGCTACATTCCCACCTCTTATTTTTGTTGTTGTTTTGTTTTGCTTATTATTTTATTATTTTAGAGACAGGGTCTCACTTTGTAGTTCACGCTGGCCTTGAACTCACTATGTAGTCCAGGAACTCACAGCAAGCCTCGTGCCTCAGCTATCCAAAATGCTGGGATTACAGGCATAAACTTGTATCTGGGTATTGTAGTGTAAGATTTATATACCGAAAACACAGGCAGGAACTTGAGTATATAGCTCAGTGGTAGCTCAAGCGCAAGGGCCTGGCTTCCATCCTTAGAACTGCAACACACAGGCTGAAGATACCTCTTAAGAGAAATCAGCAAATAATGGAAAAATGTTCTGTGCTCGCTGATCAGGAGAAGTACTGCTGAGACGCCACTTAACAGGTCCAGTGCAACTGCTTCAAAATCCCAACAGGCTTTTTTTTTTTTTTTTAAAGAAAGTAACAAAGCACATTCTACATATCCATGGAAAGAGTGCAAGATCCCAGAGTTTGGGGAAAGAACAAAGATGTAGGGAGGACCTCAGGCTAAGTGATTTCATAACTCACTATAAAGCCACACTAAGAAAATGTGGAAATGGACACTTTTCCACCCCCCAGGGCAGGCTGTGAACAGCTTGAGAGTCTGCATCCTTATTTTTAGAGCCAACTGACTTCCCACCAAAGATGCCATGATGTTCCCATGGGGGAGAAGCTGGTCTTCTCAACAAATGGGGTCAGGAGACTCAGGCCTTTCTGTGCAGGATGTGCAGTTAGACTCTCACCTCACAGCACACAGGCGTTGCTGAATTCAGACCAGAGAGGCTGTGTGCAGTGGTGCACATCGTGACCCGAGGTGCTTGGGAGGTGAGGCAGGAGATTCCCAAGACTGGACAACTTGGTGAGACCCTGTCTCAACAAACAAACAAAAAAATAACTTAAACAAAGCTAGAACTAACAAGTTTTTGGAGGAAGAAAATATAGGATTTTAGGTTAGGCAGAGTGGCATAAGAGGAAAAACTGGTACTTCTGCAATTCAAGAGATGTTTTTAAAAATCTAAGAACTCTTTAAGAAACAAAACGCAAGACTTCTTTTTCCTTTCTTTTTTTCCTACCCATCCTTCTTCCTTTTTTCCCAAGACACAGTGGGATAAATATTTCCAAGTCTTAGATATCTAGAGGTGGCACAGGCCTGGGAGGCCAGCAGAGTCAAGGCCAGCCTAGACTACATAGCAAGATGCTGTCTCAGAAATAAAAAAACCTCTCAAAATTATATATCTAGTAATAAAGCCAGCCATTGTGGCACCTATCTGTAATCCCTGTACTCTGGGAAATTGAGGCATCCAAGTTTGAGCCCAGCCTGGGCAATTTGGTGACTCAGACCCTATCTCACGGGTAAGGGGGGCGCTGCTGGTGCTGGCAGCACATGCCTGTGCCTGGGGGGGCTGGAGGAGGAGGACTGCCATAAGTTAGGGGCCACCTGAGCTGCACAGTGAGTTCAGGGTCAGACTGGACTACACAGCAAAATCGTGTTTCAAAGCAACAAACAAAAAATGTAAAATAAAAATAAAGCAGATGTGGTAGCACACCACTGTAATCCCAGCACTCAAGAGGATGAGGCAGAAGGATCACTGTAAGTTCGAGACCAGCCTGGGCTACCAACTGAGCTCAGCCAGCCTGAACTGCATAGTGAGACCCTGTCTCAAAAAGACAAAAAAATAAAATAAAATAAAATAAAATA